CTCAGGCCGGGATCTGCTTTCCGGGGTCCGGGCCCGATACACCGTGTCACCGTGTCCTGCCGCGAGGCAGAGATCGCAAGGGTCAAGGATGCCAGCACCGCGGAGGACGCGTCCGGGCCACATGTGGACTGGGCTGCCATGCTAGACACACAAGAGGTTCTGAGGCTATCGCATGAATGAGATGTGACATCACAATTCCCAGGCCAGCTCCCGCGGTCCGGCACTTACAGTATAGTCGCCACTTTGGGAGAGACCGTCTTTCTGCGTGCACCTGTGCGTCACCCCATCCACCTCAGATCCCGGCTCCCATTTTCAGAGAGTTGGGCCGCCTTGGGGCTGTCGGATTTTCTCGGAAGGCCCTGTGTTGCACGGATCCTTCGCCAGCCTTGGCGAGTCCTCGTTCCGGTTCTGTCTTTGGGCTGGAAGGCCGTGGAAGGCTCGTTGAGCAGAGCATTTTGGCTAACCCGAAACCCGGTGCATTTCGGAATTCGCTTCTTTTCAAAGGGCTCCTTGCCCAAGCAGCTATCCAGCTATGCATTGGCTTTGTGCCACATCCCAAGGTGTCCCGACAGTCTGCGGAGGATGCTGACGTTTCTGAGGCATTGAGGACTACGTCGGCAGTTTGCCCCTTGCTCCACTTTGAGCGAACACCCAGGCTCCTGCAAAGCCTGCAGAGGATCCGCCGGTTTCTGAGGCACCGGCTGTTGCTGCTATAGCTCCAGCACATGATATCATGACGACACTACCCTTTTACATAAATCCAACAATTTAACAGGGCTGTAGAGCTCTTTGGCAAGCGCTCTGAAGTTGTCTTGTCTTGTGGCGACTCACGCCATGAAGTGACTGGCATCAAAGTCAGCATGCGGGCGTGCGTGCCGAAGCCATCATGTAGCTGAGCCGGATTGGCGCATACATCCGTTGCTCGCCAAGAAACGCAGCCTACACCGAGCGCAAGCTTGCAGCATCTTCGCCGAGAGTTTCCGCTCCTCCCTTCTCCTTTTCCCTCGCACACAGGAAGTAGTCCAGGCCGAGAAGGTTCCCACCTTCCTGGCCAAGGGCGGACGTCAGAGGCTTCCTCCCTCCCGCGCTGTCCTCCCACACGGATGGAGCTTGTTCCTTCCTTCGTCGAATCTAATGTGTGCGGGGGAACAGGGATGGCCCTTCCAACTAGTTTCCCTTGCATTCGATCTGCCGCGGTCCAGCAGTTGCAAGCCTGAGAATGGTGATAGCCAAGAGTGCGCATCGGCGAAGTTCTAGCACAGGTTGTTTGTCTGTTCACTATTGCGCGTGATTTGCTGCCGGCTGCCTTGGGCTATAGTGGCTAGTTGGGAAACGATGGCGAGGCCCCTGGACCCGCGGTAAACAGCAGCAGGGCGAGCACTGCGAGCAGCTGCGATGCTTCCGTGTATTTAAATACATCTTGAAAATTGTCGAATGCAAGCAGCAGAAGATTGGCCCCTGGCTGGTGTGGCTGCGCAGCGAGCATGTAACATGTAAGCCCGTGTCACGCCTTTGCGAGGCCTCCGCGGATCGCTTCGAAAATGGGGAGGAGGCCATCCCTGTGCAGATGCTGTGCTGGGGCTTGTCTTCCAGATGCCGGCGTGGCTTGCGCAATCTCTAGGTGCAGTACTTCAGCGAGACGAAGGAACGATGGATCGACGCGGTCGCACCTCTGCTGCAGGGGCAAGTTGAATTGAGGCCCTGCTGAAAGCATGGATCCACGGAGCTGCGTTGGAATCGATGCGCATCTGAGCTCTGCTTCCTGGCTGAGGTGGAAGGCCACCACGCCAAGGAGCGATGGGCATCATCGTAATGCGAAAGACGTTGCAGATTTCAGCAGTTACTTGTGTGCGGTGCAGCTTTTGCCTACAAGGACGGGGCCATCGTCGCGTACGACCTCAATTGCAAGAAGGGGGTTCCGGCCGAGCGGCTGCGCCACTCTGGGGTCCAGTACAAAGTCGACGCCTCAAGACGGACACGATTCAGGAAACCAGCATTCAGGAAACTCCGTGATTCAGGAAACTGTCGGTTCAGGAAGCCACGCGAATCAGGAAGCCTACCAGTGGCGATTCCAAAATCCACGCAAGGCAGGAAAACCACGTGATTCAGGAAATTGCGAGTCGGGAAACCACTTTACCATCTGCAAGCCTGCCCGGACTGCCCCACCGAGGCTATAGACGTACGATTAGTACTATTGGTAATACCTCCTGACCACCACCTGTTTGCCAAGTTTGGTGCGGGGCTGGATCGGTGGATGAAAGCTGGAAAAAACTAAGGGGAGAGAGTGAACGCAGTGCTGCTGCTTGCGAGCATCGGACGAGGTTTGAGGCGACGGGTTCATTTTGTTTTTTGGAACGCCTCGAACCATGGTGGGGAACGACACGACGTGGGCACTCAGTGGTGCACCAGCAGAGGTTGCATGTTTCCACGGAGAGCTAAACTTGTTTGTGGGCTTCGCTCACTCTTCATGCTTTTCAATCCTTCCAGAATAAGTGACAGAGGTACAACTCGTCGTGTAGGGCCTGTAGGATCAACTGTAAGGTAGGCGAGCTGGTGGAATACTGGAGCGCCTCGGGACATCGGTGGATGCCTGCGAAGGCCGGGGACGGAGGGAGACAAAGAGCAAGAGCAGGAGCTCAGAGAACGCTGGCTGCTCTGTGTTGCAGGTGGAGCGGCTGAATTTGGAGGCGCCTCGGCTGCAGGAGCTGGGGAGCAGAAAGTCGCGCTGGGAGCATCGCCTCGAGGCACGGGCCTGTGACCTGGACGTGAAGCCGGGAGCTCCTCTGAACCGAGTCCGCAAGGCCCGTCGACGCGGGGGCACGTCTGCCTGCTCCTGTGGCATGTCGTGCTGTTTGTGCTGCGAGGTCTCGGGTGCTTCGGAAGCTTCCGCCTCGCTGCAGAAGGCGAGCGCCGCGCACGTCCCGAACGTCACAGCACTGCAGGCGCAGCACTCCCATGCCATTCCAGCAGTGTTCGACAGGCTCCGCCGCGGCCATTGTTGGGCCCGATCCTGGCCCACAACGTCCGCCTCCGCCGTTGTAAGAAATTTTGATTGTCCACGACGGTGCCATGCCTTTTGCCATTTGCCAGGTCGACGTGCCTCCCCCTCCGCTGGCCTGCGGCTTCAAAGCCGGAGACCAGGCTCAGATCTCGCTTTTCCGGCACGGGTTCGGTCAGGAGTGTGCCCTGCAGGTGCAGTACTTCAGCGAGACGAAGCAGAGGTGGGTGGAGACGCTGGTGCTCCGCATGTTCGAACTGGAGGGCAACATTTGCTACGACCTGGACTGCAAGAAGGGAGTCTCCGCCGACAAGGCCGCGGAAGTCCCTTCGGCGTGCTGGTCGGCATATCCATGGCGGCCTCCGGCCTTCACAGGTCCGCTCCTCGCCACGGGCCTCCCAAGAGCGCTACGAGGTGCCATGCAAGAGAATGAGAGGAGAGCACCGGACGACGGGCCGTGGCGCCTGTTGGAGGTCGGCGAGCAAGTGGAGTACTGGAGCGTCTCGGCGGGCCGGTGGCTGCCTGCGAAGGCAGAGAAAAGCGATCGAATGTCATCTCCATCTGTTCTTCCATTACAAACCCTTCCTGTGGGATCGTGCGCATGATTCGAGTCATTCGAGGTCCAGGTCGTTCGATTGGACCTCGGCCGCTGCGACCTGGACATCAAGCAGCTTGGCCGCGGCGTCACTCACCGGAGCCGTTCTAGTCAGTTAGTGATCGTCTTTTCGCATCTTGTGCCGCGAAGTCTTTTCCCAGGTTGGCCGCGCCTATCGGAAGAATCCGGCGCCCGATTGGTCACGCCACGGCCCCCAAGCCCGTGTCGGTGCCGGCAGTGCCGGCAGTGCCTGCAGTGCCGGCAGTGCCTGCAGTGCCTGCCGTGCCTGCAGTGCCAGCGCCCGAGCCGATGCCAGCGATGCC